GAGTTCTTCTAACCACCACACACAGATAGCATCTCTGTCTACCCCCACACCTACATAGTAAGTACATGTAACGAAAAAATTTTAATTGGGGGAGGATGATATATAAAGAGATCCTGTCTCAAAAATCAAAAACAACAAACATCTAAAAAAATTATGAGCATTTTCTACCTCTAACAAATTCTTTTTGTAAAACTCCCCAAATAATACAAATTTCTGTTAGGTATAAATTCATTCAGTGGCCCTATTACTTATTATCTATCTTGAACAGGACATATGAATGTCAATATATCTGATATTACCCCTACTGATCCTGAGTCACAAAACCAGATACATTTCAGTAAATAATAGTTATTCACAAATTTTATTTTTAGAAATGGAGGACTTAAAAAAAAAATGCAGTGGTGCACATCTGTAATCCCAGCACCCAGGGAGACAGAGGCAGACTGATCTCTGTGGCCTGGTAAGGCTGCTCCCCCATCAGGGGAAGGTGATTAAAGAACCAGCCACTGAGTACATGTCAGAGACAGTCCCTGTTCCCATTACTAGGGTTCCTCTTAGACACCGAGCTGCCATGGGCTACATCTGTGCAAGGGTTCTAGGTTATCTCCATGCATGCTCCTCACTCAGAAAGACAAACAGGATGGACATCAGAAGACGGAGAAAACAGGAAACAGGACAGGAGCCTACCACAGAGGGCCTCTGAAAGACTCTGCTCAGCAGGGTATCAAAGCAGATGCGGAGGCTCATAGCCATAGTGGGAGCAGCCTTGCCAGGCCACAGAGGGAGACAATGCAGCCAGTCCTGATAAGAACTGATAGACTAGGATCAGATGAAAGGTGAGGAGGACCTCCCCTATCAGTGGACTGAGGGAGGGGTATGGGGGTAGAAGAGGGAGGGAAAGTAGGATTGGAAGAGGATGTGGGAGGGGGTTACAGCTGGGATACAAAGTGAATAAACTGTAATTAATAAAAAATTTAAAAATTTTTTAAAAATTAAAAAAAGAAAAAACAAAACTTACTGAAAAAGTATCTTCTCCCTAAATCATTAAAACACTATAAAACCTACTTTTTGTTCAAAAATAAGTTTTTGTACAAATGTTTTTTTAAAGTATATTTTATTATTTATTAGGTTTGTTTTATTTATTATTTATTTTTAGGTACGTGTGTCCACTGTATCTGTGTGGGAGTATATGCATGTGTGTCTAAGTGGCCATAAGAGGGTATCAGATATTTTAGAGCTGTAGTTAGTTGTGAGCCACCTGACATGGGTGCTGGGAACTGAACTCAGGTCCTCTGTAAGGGCTCTTAATTGCTAAGCCATCTCTCCATTCCCCATCTGATTCCTATTGCTCAAAGCATTTATTCAGCAATCACATTTAAGTCAAGCTTAAAAAGATCTTTGATGTATGATATAAATTACTTCTACATTACTAGGATGAAAGTCTTACAAAAATACATACTTTTAAATGTTTATACCAAGGCTGATTATCTTTTTAATTAGGCAAATGAGAGTTTAGAAAAATGATAACTTTTATTTGCAATTTTTCTACCTCACTATTAACCAAGAATGTCATAAAAATTCTGCTAAAACTCATAACTACAAGCAAAGAAATACTAAAATGTCTAATATAGAGTTTTTCCCCTAAATCTTCTTTTGAGTAACAACAAATAGCTTCTGTACTTTAAATAATTTCTTTCAGGTATCCAATGTCTAATTTCTTTAAAAAAAAATTGGCTTTCCTTCTAAGAACAGTAGTACTGGATCAGTACTATAAACAGAAGTGCTACTGTCAAAGAATTGATCTAATAATAAAAAATGCTAAAGCCACTTGTCTTATAAAAAATTACTGCCAAATGCTGCCAGACCCTGCTTTTTGTCCTTCTGGGCCGCTAGCCAGATACTAATCATTTTTAGACCCTTTCTAATTTTTAGTACACAATATGATATACTATACTACATCTAAACCAAACAGTATTTTAAATGAATGTTCTCTGTTGTGGGACATTAATATTTACTATTGATTTATTCTTTAGTTAAGCAGTGGTTATTCCTAAACAAGCTGTATACCCAAATCAACAGAGACTAGGATTATTTTAATTAACCTAGAGCACAATGCTGGGCAATGATTACTTCATCCTAAACCTCCAAACCCTCATAGTTTCCTATCATCCAGATTTTACCCATTATACTTGCTTTTAGTCATCTTAGGTCCAATTCATTTATCCATGTGGTATCAAGTTCTCTCCTGCCAACCTCTGCTCCTACTCTCCTGCTTCCTCTATCTTCCCTCCTCACCAAAATGTCCACCCTATCCTCTTCATTGCACAGCATTGTGGCTGGTTGTTTTAACTGACAATATAAGAACAAATGGTGGCATGCCTACACAAACTTGAGACAGGTGATGCTTAGAATGAGCATCACAATGCAATGTCAGGATTGAAACCAGATAGCAGGGTAGAGAAAACAGTATTTGAATGAAAAAGAATTGTATACATTCCAAAAGAACATTATACCAACAGTTCTCTAAAATTCATCTCAGGTTCTGACATATGTTTGCATGTTCAGTCTATTACACATATGCATGGGGACACACATGCACATTCACATTTATATGCACACACTCACATATGCACATACATACATTACATATATAATTAGTCCTTCATATTTACTGGTTTCACACTGAGGATTCAACCAACCCACGATTGGAAATATTACAGGGAAACCCCTACACTGAACATGCAGACTTTTTTCTTTTTCTTTCGTTTTAGTTTTGTGTTGTTGTTGCTTTCTGACACAGTGTTTCTGTTTAACAGAGCCTTGGCTGTCCTGGACTCACTCTGTAGACCAGGCTGGCCTCAAACTCACAGAGATTTGCCTGCCTCTGCCTGCTGAGCACACCACCACACTTGGCAACTGTACAGACTTTTTTGTAATCATTATTCCCTAAACAACAGTCTGACACCTATTTGTATAGCCTTTACATTGTATTAGGAGATGATAACTAGCCCACAAAAGACTGAAAGTGGGCACTATGCCACTTGGTGTACAAGACTATTTTCACAGATACTGCTCTCTGTGGGATCCATAACTACCCCCTTGAGCATGCTGAAGACATGTGGATATACATGAAAATCTGCTCTCTGTGGCCATCCATAACCACTCCTTGAGCATGCTGGAGATGTGTATACACATGAAAATCTACTATCTGTAGAAGCAAACACAAAAACATGAGATAACAGTGACTGCATTTGAGACTTAGGTCTTTGAAATTTTATGACTTTGTGGTAACCATTCAAAAAAATTTCTCCACTTAATGGGAAAATGGGCCAGGAGTGGTAGTACACACAGGAGTGGTACCTTAATCTCGGCAGGGTCAGACAGATCTATGTGTTGGAGGCCTGCCTGGTCTGCACAAGCTTTCCAGTTTAAAATAGTCCCTAAGACAATGCTTAAGGAATTCTTTTTAAAAATCTTTTTTTATAAATATTTTAACATTTAATTGTTCTTTTAAAAATCAATTTCTGATGCTCAGTTTTATTATAATCAAAGAAATACAACGTAAATTCTTTCATTTATCAAATTACAAGTTTTTTTTTTTTTTAAACTAATACTCAATTCTAGTAGCATAGGAATTGGCATCATTCCAAAGAGCCAAGAGACTATAAGCCTATTTTCCCTACCCTGTAAATCAGGGGGAGAAGCTGAGATGGAAGCAAAAGACACAGGCCTGAATTTCTTCTAGGTAGATCACCATCTGGACTCTGGAGATCATGCAGAGAGCGACCTGCTACAAATACCTCACTGTCATTCTGCAGATCTATATAAAGCGTTTGCAGCTCAGAACCTTCCATGTAAACACCATGTGTGCTTGTGTGTCAAATATATTAAAATGAAAGTAACTCCTGGCCAGCAGATGACTCTATATTCCCACTAAACACATGTACAAAACTGTTATTAGTAATTGTGTTTCTAAGAACTAGGAGCTGTCAACAGCCCAAATATCCAATAACAGAATAGGTACATATGTCCACATGCAATGGAATAATACATAGCAATGAACAAATAAATTATTGCTAATACAAAGCTATCACTCACTTTTTAATGAAGTGGTGGTATACACCTATAATCCCACTACTCAGGAGGCAGAGGCAGGAGGATCTTTGTGAAGTTGAGGTCCGCCTGGTCTACTAAGCAAGTTCCAGGATAGCCAGAGTTACAAAGAAACCCTGTCTTGAAAAAACAAAAAAAATTAAATACAAACCCAAAAATGAATCTTATAGACACTAGGCTAAACAAAGAAAACCAATAAAAAGAAAAACTAGCTTCCATTTCTTTTTATGAAGTTCAAAAACAAAGAGCAAATACAATCTACAAATTGTGATTTGTAGAAAAGCAAATATTTTGGAAAGTACTAACTAGAAAGAGAATAAAGAAGTTATGATGCCATATAAATATTCAGTATCTCTACCTGACTGGTAGTTACATGTGTAAAAATTCATTAAGCTAGCCATTAGAAATCGTTCCTGGGCTAAGAACCAGAACAGTGGTCTCAGCCTGTGGCTGAGGTCGCATCTCAGATCTCCTACATATCAGGTGTTTACATTAAAAATATGATTAACAGTGGCAAAATTACAGTTAAGAAGTAGCAATGACAATACTTTTATGACTGGGGTCACCGCAACATGAAGAACTACATTGAAGGGTTGTAATTAGGAAGGTTGAGAACCACTGAACTAAAAGATGACTTCATCCAAATACATACCCACAATACCATGCCCCAAATCAGGAAAGTGATTAGTTTTATGCTTTTGGGTAACTCCCTTAGTTGACATACAGCTGGCACATTTTTAGGTATGGAAGGGATTACCAGTAAGCCTGATAGTAACAACTCAGTAATCTGCAGAGTCTTCCTTTAAAAAGCAAAGAAAAAAAAGAGAAGAAAGAAAGAAAAAGCAAGGGAAAAATAACAAGATTAGAGAAACAGAGAGAGTCCCTACCTGACATGATCCAAGTTCAGGATTTTCTCTGAGCCATGTCCTTAAGACTCTAAGATCCTCAGCATCACTTTTCCTGGAGGGGAAAACCAGTAAAATAGCACTGTTTTTGTTTTTGTGACCAATTCTCATTATTTAGCCCAGGATGACCTCAAACTCCAAACCCTTTTGCCTCAGCCAGCTCAGTGCTGGACTTCAGGGTGTGTGCCATCATCTTTGGCTTTAACAGTAGTTTCACAGCAGAGTTCACCACTAGTTAAGTAGAAAATACCTCACAGTTGGCTGGCTATGTGACCATGAGGAAGCTGTCCAACTCCCCCTGCATATGCAATGCCCACATAGGCTAAAGCTTCATGGTTCAAGTTTTTGAAGCCAAACTGATCACAAATTCTCCTTTTTAGGTATTGGGAGGTGGATGCTACATAGACAAACTTCCATTTATAAAGTCAGTAAAATATCTATCAGTAACAAAACACCAAATAAGCACTCTAATTCAGAAAGAAGCACAATACTACGAAAGAACATAGAACATGGTATAAATAAGACCTACATATAGTCACGGTCTGCGTCTTGGGAGGTAATGTTAATGTCAGAATTGGCTTTAAAAATTAAAGGCAATGGGTTGAAAGCAACCACGAAGACAATATAAATACACACACAATTTAGCAAATACTGTTTTCCATGTAAGAAGCAGTCAAGGTTCAACTATCAATCACCTATGTCCACAACCGGAAATTCTTGATTCAGTTACCATCCCAACTAGCAATCCAGCAGCTACGGACTGGAAGCTGCCTCAAAATCCAACAGGACATTCCTGTAAGTTTTGCTGTGTAACATTAACTCCTACCGCACGAGAAGTCTCACTTTTTAATATGAGGCTAAGAACTACAGTCCTAACATCAGTTTATGGGCTACGCAAGAGAAGATAATCTAGAAGAAGATGAGTGTAGGAAAGCTGGACATTATGAAGGTGTTTGGTTTCTAGATTTCAAACATGTAGGTATGAATAAACAAGCAAAAGGGATTAAAAAATGAACAGCAAATATAAACCTGTCTTTGAATACAGAAAATAAAAAACAATTACAGCAAAATAAATAAATAAATAAACTTAAGGGAATGAATGAACAAGAATACCTAAGTGAATAACCCAGGGAGACAGAAAGAAGGACCAGAGAGGATAAGGGATCTAAAATGCAGACTGTAAAGAACGAAAAATAAGTAGTTTTTACAGCAATATGAGAAAGCACGCTAAGCAGGGAAAGAATCTAACTGAAGACCGAGTCAAGGAAACAGGACGGTTCATTCAGTAAGCGGATCTCATTAGTACAACTGGAGCCAGAGGTTTATGGTGGAGAAAATGCAGATGAGCCAAAGGGATAATGAAAGGCCTTGTAATGACAGTCAGGACTAAATCCTGGAGCTAAAGAACAATGGGTATTAAGTAAGGAGCAAATGAACAGATCCACATTATGTTGAAAGCAGTATAAGGATGGAATTCAGGGGTCAAGCCTAGGGCCAATAACGAAAGAGCTCACTCATTCTACTCCAGAATTAAGTAAGAACCTAACATTATTGCATAGGTATTCTGCCACAGAGTAAAGGATTAGAAACAAAAAACAAAAATGCTAAAAACAATAAGACCACTATAATATGCAAAGCTAACTGATCCAAAGAAAAGATTTACCTTCATGAATATGTACTCTACAATTAAACACTTCCTATCTCTGTAAAGAAGCTTCTGAAGTCAGATATATACATATACATACAAAACTATTTATATCCTGAGAACGAGCCACACATGCCATCTTTGCAGGAGCTGTAACACAAAAACTGATACAGTACAATCCCTGGAACTGAGCTTTGTACAAATTATTAACAGGGCTTTTCTTACATCCATTATTTGCATACATACTTACACATGGAAACCGAGGTCCTGAAAGACTAAGAATTATCAAAGGTCACACTATTAGAGAAGCACAGTGAAGATTAGAATGCATGTCTTACAATTTTCTTTCTAGAAACTGCTTCAGTATATAACATTATGATTCTAGAGTTTTGAATGATAATGTAAAACCCACTTTGGTACTCTCATTTTCAGAATTGTAATAATGAAACTATACAACTTTTTATGGTTCATATGCCTTACAAGAAAAACATATTTATTAAATGTGCCTACGTTTGACCAAAGAATAAAAAATCTTTCTGGAGTCAGCACAAGAGCACTTCCCCCCACCCCGCCATTCACACACCTTTGATGTAATCAAATACTGAGTATCTTGAAATGTTTTAACACTTAGCTATACACTTTTTATCTTGTGCTCTGCACCTCACTTGTCCTCCCTATCCTCCCTAATTTTTAAATAACTAAAATATCTTTACTTTTCATTAATACAAAGAGGAAGATGTGGCAACACTGACAGAAGCCTGTAAATACTGTGTATTTCCCAAACTCATAGTTTTCATTTTTAACTAATTTTCACATAAGCAGCGCTGCTCACTGAAATGAATTCAAGGAATGTTAGAGTATGAAATCAGACAGCTTTCTACCATCCATTTCTCCTTCTGAAGACACCTCCAAACACGGTAAGTTCCATTTGTGTGCCAACAGATTTTCCTCATGCTTACATCACAAAAGCATTTTCAAAGAGGCAACATTTACTTAATGCCTAAATTCTACTGATCATAATTTTTGAAAAAATTATTCTGAATATAGAAAGCTCAGCTTCTGTTATCACAACAGATGTCAATTGTTACTCGGGTTATTTAAGGGAGAAAAAAAAAGTTGTATCCCAAGGACATGGTTTTTTCTTATCAGCATTGAAAGTTAATGGTTTTATTTGTTGTTTGCTTCTTGATGTAGGATGCATTTCTTCAATCACTACATCACGATACCTAACAGATAACCCAGTCTTTGCAGATGGGTCAGTCTATGCTCATTTAGAAGTCTGAAAGCTTTTCGGAAAAGAAAGAAAGGAAGGAAGGAAGGAAGGAAGGAAGGAAGGAAGGAAGGAAGGAAGGAAGGAAGGAAGGAAGGAAGGAAGGGAGGAAGGGAGGGAGGGAGGGGAGAGAGAAAGAGAAAGAAAGAAAGAAAAGAAAAGAAAGCTGAAATTTGCCTGCTTTGTCATTTGTCTTTCAAAAAAAAAAAAAAAAGTTTGACGACGAAGATCTACTTGAGTTTTTTGGGCTTTGGTTTCAACCAAATACTTGCTTACCTGATTAGTTGAGCCCAACAAACAATACATTCCCTCGTTTGCTTGTTTAAATATCTGCAAAATTCAAACCTTCAGCACCTTGTTCCTAATCTTTCTGATTAAAAAGGCAGAAGAAATTACTTTTTTAAAAATCTGATAAAAATACTGGCAAGGCAAACTTCTTTACTTTGCCATACTTTCAATTTACCTGCTTTTTTCTTTTTAAAATTTCTCGTTTACAGGCCCCACAACAATGTTTCTTTAGACTAAGGTCACATTGGACTGCCTAACCAGGAGAATTGTCAGGCAAATGTACAGACACTCTGAAACACATTTTAAAACCACTCACAGGCAGATACATAAAAGTCAGTTTAAGTTCCACCTAAGTCTGGCAGTCATCAAGGACTCTGTAAGATTAAAAACAAAACACAGTGAAACTGATGCACCAGGATTCTCTAAAAGAGCTCCATCCTTAACAGGCTGCCAATGACGCTTTTGCAGAAATCTTACTTTGAGACCATATATACATTATATATATACTTTTTAAAAAGTTACTCTCGTCTATAGGTGCTTTAGAAAGGGCACTACTTAACACCCAGGCAAACAGCATAGACTTAACCATGCAGGATCATCAAAGACTACGTAGAACAGAAAGCCCAAATAGCACAGCCACTCCTACCCTCAGGAGCTAAATCCTCTCTCAACCTTCGCCTACTTGCCTCCTTAAAACAAACAAACAAACAAAAATCACCCAGACAGCATGCCCAAGTCGGGTACCGCTCGTAGGACGACACTAGCGCGTCCCTAAAGGAATCCCGGAGCAAAGAAAAGAAAACTGCAGAACAACCCACGGTGTCTCCAACTAGGCAACTGCTCCGGTCAATCTTCCAACTGAAAATCGAGTCAAGCCTCAACTACAGAGACCAGGTGGAAAACGTTAGCCACCGAACGCCACAAGCGGTGCCAAGGGGTGGCTCCTGAAACCGGGTCCGGCACCACCGCCCCTGCGCCCGGAGTCCGCGGAGCCGCGCCCACACGGCGAGATCACTCTCCGCGTCGCCCCGAGAAAGACCGGGGACCATCACGAACAGTTACCGCCCCCCTCTGGGCGAAGCAGAAACCCCAACACAAGCGCCCGTCTCCCCGAGCACGCTCCCGCCCCCACCCACACCCACCAGCCGGCTCTCGCCCCGGAGGGACAGGGCATCGCCCTATCACCAAGGCGACCTGACACCACCCCAGGTCTCCGGAACCCCGACACCCTCCCGCTCTACGCTAGCTACGCCAGCCCCCTCCGCTCCTAGGGCTCCCGTGCCCTCGGGACCCGGCTAGACCGTATCCCGAGTCCCCCAACTGCCCAGGGTCGCCAGAAACGGTCCCCTCGCCCCGGAGCCGCGCGACGCCAGCACTCGGCTCTCGGGACACCAGAGGCTCCCGCGACCCCAGAGACCCGGGGCGGTCTGGACCGACACCCACCACGCCCCAAAGCCGGAGGAGCCCCGGGACCCCCGCCGCGTCACGAGATGCCCGCGCTCGGGGCGCCGCGCATCCCCCGGAGCCACCCCCGCCGCGGGGCGCTCCCTCACCTGAGGCGCGGCGGCGGGCGAGCGGCCCCGAGCCCGGGCTCAGACCGACGCGGGCGGCGGAGACTCGGCGGCCCAGGCCTGCGCTGCGCGGCTCCAGCCTCTCGGCGAGGAAGCGCTCGTGTGGGAGAGCCCGCCCGCTCCGCGCGCTGCCGGGGAGCCGCGCCGCCGTGCCCGCGGCTCTTCCCGCGAGATCGCAGCCACGGCGAGGGGCGAGGCCGCGGCAGGAGGGCGGGGCTCCTCGAGTGGCAGCCCCGGGAGCCTGTCAGCGACGGCGAGGGAGGCGGGGCCGCAGGGGCCGGCCGGGCCTGAGGGGCGGGGCCTCCCCGGGGGGCGGGGCCTCCTGGAAGGACAGCGCCGAAAACCTGTCAGCGGTGGCAGCGCGAGGGGCGGAACTCGCCGACCACGAGGACCAACTGCAAAAGAGGAAAGGTGATTCTACCCGCCTCTCATCAATAAATTGCTGATAGAGGTGTTGCCGACCTGAAGTCTCTGGACCTCGGCCTTTACGCGGTAGTTGGGAGGACTTAGGCAGAGTTTGGTCCCGCTTGGCTGCCGTAGAGACACCTGGTTTAGCAGAGAACCTGAACTTAATGCAGGTATAAATTGAGGCGCTGTTACCTTTGTTTACACTTCTATCTGAAGTGAGCACAGAAGTCCCATCTAACGGCCTCAGTTTACCCACGTCTGTCTCCCCCTTTAATATAGATTTCCCCTATTTCGGCCTCTCTTCCCTTTTTCCTTTTACACAGGACCACATTGCCACGGGTACTTCAAGCTCCAATATCTGGTCTAACAAAGGACTCTTCTAATTCATTTGTGCATTCTACTTCCACAAGGGTAAAACACGAAATAATCTAACCTAACAAATCCTAGAAGTACACGGAAACTTGTATCTTTGCAGATCCTAGAGCCCAGGAATGTTTGGCACAGGCAGCACATCGAATAAAAAAACGTGAAAGGAATGAATGGAAACTGTGATAACTTATCTGGACTGGACTCAGAAACAGGGCTTTCCTAGCCTTTATAATGGCAACCATTCTTCTCACACTTAAGTCCCTTCTTCTCTCATTATTATGCCTACCCTGTAGCCTTCCGTCATCTTCCTCTAGTCTCCCTTACCCACAGCAAAAAGTACCCTTACTCTATCTCAAGGTTAACACCTGCCCTTGTACACTGGATCTCAGCCAGGCCCAGATCGTTCGGTCAGCTTCCCCCATTACCAATCTCTAACTCCTTTAACCCCCAAACAAACTCAATATACCTGTTCTACCTACTCAAGCTGTCCTCTCCTTCTGAGACTCCCACTTCTTGAGAATATTAAGGTATATTTGTGGTCCACACTTTCTCGTCCCTTATTTTTCCCACTACATTGCTGGTTTGTCCTCACAATCTGCTACTCTCTTAATAGTTTCAAAAGACCTCTTTCCTAATAGATAACTGGGTGGGACATTTTCCCCAGTGGCCTCTCTGAAGCTCACTGACAATGCTAAGGGAGTCCTCCTTTAGCACCGGCCTGTTCTTTTAATTCTTTACCTACTTTTTTTTCTTTTAAGTTCCCTCTCCTAGTTTAAAAATGGTTGAATATTGATGATCCCTTATCTTATCCCACACCTTGAGCATAATAAGAAAAATGTCCACACACCACTGCACACTCTAAGAACCACAAATTGGTTCAGACAAAAGCTGTTAAAAAAAAAAAATCCAGAGGGAAGAGATGCAGTGCGGCTGTAAAGCTTGAACTGGATGGTGAAATAGTGGGTTGGCCCATATAAATGAAAGACAGAAATGAAAGCCTTTCAGAGAAAAATAATATAAACCAGAGCAACAATAAAAGAATGTGAGCTGAGCCTGGCTGCAAGTTGGACAGTTCAGTAAACAGATTCCCACAGAAGCCGGGTAGGGGTTGGAGGGAGCCAAGATCAGAAAGGAACCAGACAGTGATCGGCTTTAAATACCAAGCCACAGTAATTGGACTTCATTTGGTGTTAAAATGGAAATCCGGAACCAATCCAAATATTTGTAGGAGCTGTAAAGAAGCTAGGTGTGGAAGCATGTCTATCAAACGAATAAGTATACTTTAAAAAATAATGATAAAATAAGCTAACATACTCTGAAATTTAAAAAAAATCATGCCATTTTTCCTTGACAAATATTCTTAAACGCTTTATTTGGGGTTTCTTAGAGGCTCTCCCTTTCAACCTCCAAACCCTAAGGAGGAGAGAGAAGGTTAGTGGGGAGAAGGCTGGCAGACCCCTTTACTTCTCCCAGCTATTTAGGGTTGATGGGTTCCCTTGGGGCTATACCAATCTCTGTCAACAGCAAACGCAGCAGGCAGTCTCCTCAGTGCCACCATGTTGAAATGTTTTTCTCCATCTGAAACACCATCCGACTCTGGTCACTCCAAACTGGCACATGCCACATGCCAACACCACGCTTTCTCTCTCTGGGCTCCCATATTTATATCCCTCAGCGTCCTTGGCCACGCCCCTCTCTGTGCTGCATGAGGCAGGCATTACGAGCTGGCAAAGGCCATGCCCTGCACAGGAGAGTTATCAGCTAAGGACATACTAAAGTCCAAACTAAAATCCCACACTTATGATTAAAACAAAAACATATTTACATAACTGAGTTTACAAAAAACAAACAAACAAACAAAAAACACTTCTATTACACAAATGTACTTGGTAAATAACTTGGATGGCCAGGTTGAGATTTAAAAGTTTGTTAGCAGGACAGGAGCTTACCACAGAAAGAAGCCTCTGAAAGACTCTACCCAGTGGGGTATGGAAGCAGATGCTGAGACTCATAGCCAAACTTTGGGCAGAGTGCAGGGAATCTTATGAAAGAAGGGGGAGATAGAAAGATCTGAAGGGGACAGGAGCTCCACAAAGAGAGAAAAATCTGGGCACAGAGATCTTTTCTGAGACTGGTACTCCAACCAAGGACCATGCATGGAGATAACCTAGAACCCCTGCACAGATGTAGCCCATGGCAGCTCAGTGTCCAACTGGGTGTCCTAGTAAGGGGAACAGGGTGTGTTTCTAACATGAACTCAGTGGCTGGCTCTTTGATCACCTCCTCTTGAGGGGGAGAAATCTTACCAGGCCACAGAGGAAGACAGTGCAGCCAGTCCTGATGAGAGCTGAGACGCTAGGATCAGAGGGAAGGAGGACCTCCCCTATCAGTGGACTGGGAGAGGGGCATGGGAGGAGATAAGGGAGAAAAAGTGGGATTGGAAGGAAATGAGGGAGGGGCCTACAGCTGGGATACAAAGTGAATAAACTATAATTAATCTAAAAATTAAAAAATAACAAAATATTTTAAAAAAATAAAATTCTGTTAGCAGGGGGAGAGTCTCAGAGTCTTCTGCTGGGACTAGGCAGGTTAAAGAGAGAAAACATGAAGCCTTTCTCATATTGTATCCTGTAGTAACAATTTTGGGATTTGGGTTTCTTTAAAAGACACAGAAATATTATAAGAATGTTTTCATTTTAATCCCAGGTGTGGGGATATGGGACTCCTTGGGAGCAGCTGACGACAATTTGCCTCATGCTCTAGCTAGGCATTGTTTTGCCAGCTGTAGATAGTTTTTGTGATTGTGTAACGTTTGGAATTCTGGGGACTTTTCAGAGGGGTATAAATGCTAGAGTGCTGCTAGGCAGGGTTGGTGATTGGTGGTCCTTGGGGGGAGGGGTTTCAGTTTGTTAGGTGTGCTCAAAGAAACAAATGAGTTTCAGAGATCTCTCTCTCCCCCTCTATCCTTCTTTCTTTCCTATCTAGTGATAGGGGGTAAAATCAGGGAGTGGGGATAAAGAATGGGAAAAAGAAGAAACCACAAAGTAGCAAAGATCAACTGCAAGCAAAGGAGAAACAAGAAGAAAAAATAGATTAAGATCTCTCTCTCTCTCCTCCATTCTTCTTTTTCTCCTATCTGGTGATAAGAGGTGAAGTGGGGGGGGTCAGGTTGGGGAGATTAAGGGTGGGAAAAAGAAGAACCCATGAAGTAGCTAAGACCAGCTACAGTATCCTCCAGTCCATTGTGGTCATCAGCATTGATTATCAACTTAACAAGCTCTAGAGGCAAGTCTCTGAGCGTCTGTGAGGACTAATCTTAACTGGGCTAATTGGGATGGGAAGACCCAACCTAAGTGTGTGTGTCACCACCTCGTGGGGTAGTCCCCAGACTAAATGAGGGAAGAAAGGCAGCTGAGCACAAGCATTTCTCTCTCTTTGCTTCCAAACTGTGGTGCCAGGTGGCCAGTTGACTCAGGCAGCGCTATTTTCCACCACAGCGACTGTACCCTCTGGAGTCATCTGGTATTTTGGTTCAGCAATATGTGAAGTAACTAGTACATTGGTCCAGGCCCACACTACAAAGTAACTGTCACTCTATGGACACTCTTGGGCTCACGTATCCAAGATTCATCCTCACTTTTCCCACTCTAAAATAGTCATTTGACAAGCACTTAAAGTCCAGGGATGGAGCTGGCAAGCTAGCCCAGCAAATAAAAAGTACCTGCCAGAACCCAGGATAGAAGGAGAAAACTTGACTCTTGAAAGCTGTCAGGGCCATGGTACACGTGTGAACTCTCTCTCTCTCTCTCTCTCTCTCTCTCTCTCTCTCTCACACACACACACACACACACACACACAAATCATACACACCAATAAATACACTGGAAAAAGCCCACATGGACCTTGGAAGTGGGCTCACAGCCATTAGGGTAGGTAATTCTGCCTTCTGAGTACTTGGAGAAAGGACTGCTACAGTGCGCTGAACTAAATAGCTTTATGAGCACACACCTCTCAGCTTAATGGATTCCTGTTCATTTTGTAGAAGGGCCAGTGCAGAGCCATTTAAAGGCAGATCCCTTTAAAGAGAGGGTGAGCAGAGCCAATGAGTCTCTTAGGAGTGACGAGTCTGACCAGCTTAGATCTTGAAAAATAATTCCACGAGTTTTCCATGTTCCCATGGACGTGGCCCTTGCTCTCTCGCCTCAGAAGCAGGACTGTACTGAAAAGAAAACGGCACTCTTGACTTCACGTCCATGTGGGTCCTCTTCTCTCCAGTGCTTCTCTCAACCATTAGTGTTATCAGAAATCTGCTGAGAAAATTGCACAGAGATGAAGTGCTCTCAGCCAGAGGGGCATCCAACCTCAG